TGTAGCTGTTTACAATCTACAATGTGTAGCTGTTTACAGTCTACAAAGTGTAATCATTTACAGTCTACAAAGTGTAGCTGTTTACAATCTACAAAGTGTAGCTGTTTACAATCTACAATGTGTAGCTGTTTACAGTCTACAAAGTGTAATCATTTACAGTCTACAAAGTGTAGCTGTTTACAGTCTACAAAGTGTAGCTGTTTACAATCTACAAAGTGTGACTGTTTACAATCTACAAAGTGTAGCTGTTTACATTCTACAAAGTGTGACTGTTTACAGTCTACAAAGTGTAGCTGTTTACAATCTACAAAGTGTGACTGTTTACAGTCTACAAAGTGTAATCATTTACAGTCTACAAAGTGTAGCTGTTTACAGTCTACAAAGTGTGACTGTTTACAGTCTACAAAGTGTAGCTGTTTACAATCTACAAAGTGTGACTGTTTACAGTCTACAAAGTGTAGCTGTTTACAGTCTACAAAGTGTAGCTGTTTACAGTCTACAAAGTGTAGCTGTTTACAGTCTACAATGTGTAGCTGTTTACAATCTACAATGTGTAGCTGTTTACAATCTACAATGTGTAGCTGTTTACAGTCTACAAAGTGTAGCTGTTTACAATCTACAAAGTGTGACTGTTTACAATCTACAAGTGTAGCTGTTTACATTCTACGAAGTGTGACTGTTTATAGTCTACAAAGTGTAGCTGTTTACAATCTACAAAGTGTAGCTGTTTACAGTCTACAAAGTGTAGCTGTTTACAGTCTACAAAGTGTAGCTGTTTACAGTCTACAAAGTGTGACTGTTTACAGTCTACAAAGTGTAATCATTTACAGTCTACAAAGTGTAGCTGTTTAAGTCTACAAAGTGTGACTGTTTACAGTCTACAAAGTGTAGCTGTTTACAATCTACAAAGTGTGACTGTTTACAGTCTACAAAGTGTAGCTGTTTACAGTCTACAAAGTGTAGCTTTTAACAGTCTACAAAGTGTAGCTGTTTACAATCTACAATGTGTAGCTGTTTACAGTCTACAAAGTGTAACCATTTACAGTCTACAAAGTGTAGCTGTTTACAATCTACAAAGTGTGACTGTTTACTTTCTACAAAGTGTGACTGTTTACAGTCTACAAAGTGTAGCTGTTTACAATCTACAAAGTGTGACTGTTCACAGTCTACAAAGTGTAGCTGTTTACAATCTACAATGTGTAGCTGTTTACAATCTACAATGTGTAGCTGTTTACAGTCTACAAAGTGTAGCTGTTTACAATCTACAAAGTGTAGCTGTTTACAATCTACAATGTGTAG